TTGCAGCCGCAGTCGGCTCGTTGATAATTCTCATTACGACCAAGCCAGAAATTGTTCCAGCATCCTTGGTGGCCTGTATCAAAAATTAAAAAATGATGTTTAAGAATCAACATCAGAATTAATAATTATTGCGATTTTTTCAACAAAATGCTTTGAAAGATTTAAACCGAACATTAATTTTTTTTAAACTTTTAATAATGGTTACTTTTGCTCTTAAAATATACGATATTTTTCAAGTTTTAAGATAATACTAGTATCGAACATAAATCTCACCTGTCTTTGTGCATCATTGAAGTAAGCCGGCACAGTAACTACCGCATGAGTGACTTTCTTACCGAGATAGGCCTCGGCAGTTTCTTTCATCTTGCCTAAAACCATAGCAGAGATTTCCTCGGGCGCAAAGACCTTTTCTCCTTGGCTGGTTTCGACCTTAATGTGAGGCTTGCTGTTTTTCTCGATGACCGGGAACGGGAAGAATTTCACATCGTGCTGTACAGTGGGATCTGACCATTCACGACCGATTAACCGCTTGGCGTCAAACACAGTGTTTTCTGGATTCGTCGTCAATTGATTCTTGGCGGCATCGCCGATCAAACGTTCGCCGTCATTGGTGAACGCTACGTAAGAAGGTGTAATTCGGTTACCCTGATCGTTGGCGATGATCTCCACTCGACCATTCTTGTAAACTCCAACACTAAAAAATATATAATCTTATTAATTTATTAATCGCAGAAAAAAGATAATAAACTATTGTCTTTTGACAAATTATTCTTAATAATACATCATTATGATAATGTACACTCACCATGAATAAGTTGTACCCAGATCAATTCCTATTACTGTACCAATATCTTCTTTCTCCTTGTCCTCTTTCGCAATCGTGGCGACTGCTAGCAGTCCCACTATCAATAAACTTATGACTCCGTTCATATTGCTCTGTATGAACTATACCTAAATCATCAATAATCACAGGATTAACTAATAATAAGATTAAATTTTTTTTATTAAAACGATAGAATTTATAAAATATTAAAAAGCATTATAATTGTCAACCAATAAAAAAAAATTAAGAAAAAGATTTACAATCTTTTATATTGAGTGTTATATAAATATTTTTATATATCAATTGTTAATTGTTATATAAATGTAACAAATTAAATATCCATAAAAATTATACAATTATAATTTTAAAATATAATTTTGCACAAAACAATTCTTGATATTTTCATCTATACTTATATGAGAATAAATTAACTATGAAGAAATAAATGACTTGTGAAGCACACATTTTGGTCATTTTTTGCATAATGTATCATCATTGTAATCACATATTTAGATGTATATCTTAGATATCAGGTTTATATAGATCAAGTATTCAAGAGAGAACAATTTCTTAATTTCCATAAAATTTATTCGATTTATCCCTTGGAAAAACAAATTGAAAACAAGCTACATATTTCACGAGGATCATTGGTATTTATGAGTCAAATGACTTTCGGCTCGGTGAACAAAGTCACACGTCATCTTTTCGAAGAGATAATTCCAGAAGTTTGACGCGCCGAAGAGACTATAAAAAATCGATTAATATCGCGGTTGTTGCAATTTAACAAACACCTACTTTTATCGCACAAGACTGAGAGAGACGTAGGAGTTCCTACGGGATTCGTACGGGATAACGAACAAATCAAACGTGGCAGAAGGCTCTCTCGCCGCAGTCTCGAACGTATAAAAAAAAAAAAGAAGGAAAATACCGTATCATCCGCGTTACTAAACAATATGCGGATAAAAAATGCGAGAATACCGAATTAAGAGAGACCGTCGTCGATTGCGAGCTGCAATCTGGACAACTCCGGATTGACAGCGGGATGACAGTGGAACGTCCGAAATTCCCGAGGGAACCGAAATTCTCGTTCGAGGATCGAACTCCGGTTGCCGTCGGCGCGCGCGACGGCGACTTCGACGGAGCAGAACGTCCCGACAGCGACAGATAAGACTCGCGGGAAAATCTCTCGAGTTCACGATATTCAGAACGAGAATTCACTCACCAGTTGGACGTGTATCGGCACGGTTTCGTTGAATGTTCCTCGCGTTCTTTACGATTACGTCTCACGATCCTGATTCTCTCTCTCTCGGCGAACGGTAAAACGACGACTGACATCGACACCGGACTCGAGGGCCGGGATATTAACGGGAGTGTTACGTCGTGGCCGACGCTGATTGGCGTCGGTCGCCTGGCCTCGACGGAAGGCGGTGGCGCTGATTCGCCACCGCGTATACAGTTGGCCGCGCCTCGTTGGCCCACGTCATGGCTGTCGAGCTTCGGAGTCTTCACGCGCCGCCGCGATTCGCGGTCGGCCGATTAGATATGGTAGGTGGAACACGTGGACGCCGTACCAGCGAGCGCAGCGCGACGCGCCAGGGACGAACCGCCGCGCCGTGCTCGTAATCCCGCCCCGAGGTTCTCTCGCGCGAAACGCCTCGAAAGAAAATATCTCTTTGCATCATAGTTTTCAGTCATATCGATATTATCGTATTGTTCGAAAAATTTTATTATCGATATCTTTTAACGGAATTTTTATGCGCATTTAAATATTGATAAACTTAGGGTTCTGATAGTCTACAATAATAATTCTTATTAAGTAATGAGTATATAATAAGTACAATTTTTGCATATCTTACACACGCGTTATATTTTGTTCAGAATGCTATATATTATACTAATATACTGCTACGTATACTATAATTTTAAATTATTGATTTGTTGACTTATTAATCTACTTTTAAGAAAACGAATGTATAGCATCTTTTAAACCGTTATAGATGTAAAAATCTTATTCAAAAGCATTTTTAACGAAAGGAAAACAAATATTTTCAATGAAACGTTTAACTTACTAATAAATAAAAAAATTATTTGAACATGTTAAAAAGAATATATATTAAATAAATAAAATATAATACCATTTTTATAATCATGCCAAGAAAGGAAGCCGGATCCATCTTGTTTGAATAAGAACAGTTGCATCAACAGTGGACGCGATTGTGTTTCATAAGCTGAATCACTTTTGCAGGGACGTAAAAGATCATCGCAAATCCTGGTGCAAGGACAACATTCAAAGGCAAAAATGTATATGCCTTTATCTTTTAACAACATATTATTTCTTTGTTATTATTTATCTTAATAGTATAAAATAAATCAGTGTTATTTAAAGAAAAATTTCACTATTTATTATACGTAAATATCACAATGTGATACTAAATTGCCAATATATTGAATAATTTAACACAATATTAAATCTCAACATTATTTATCACTTCGATAATAATCAAAAGAGAAAAAAATAATTGTAAAGACAATTATAAAAGTATATAAGATAAATTACATTAAAGTTCGCTTTTTTTCTCTTATTATATCATTTTATACCTACTGTAATGTATCGATATCTTTTATCTACTGATATGTGTGTGTAGTGTATTTTTCAGTTATAATCTTCCAGTTAAAATAATAAGAATTTGTTTTAAATGTAGCATTATATAAAATTGCGGAAATTTTGTATAATGCTACATGGAGAGATGTAGAAAACAAATGACGGGTGTGTGGAACGGGTTGCATCGTTCCGATTTGAGTTTGCACGCACCGTGGCACCATTTAGTCTAACGGTATCTACCCGTTACCTCAGGTAGTGAATTAAATGGAACGCCTTTTTTTTACGTATTACACTACGTCATTATTTCACTAACACAGAAACAACTACGTGTGAATGACGAAACGTGACATCATCGCTGAACTAAGATTTAAAATAATTGACAAAAATTTGTAAAATTTGTACTTTTATTGTTAATTCATTAAAACGTATGTAAATATATACAAATTCATTTTATATATGCCATCCTACATCCTTTTCTATAATTAGTTAACTGATATTAATAGTTTATAATAATATGATGCAATTTTATGATAGCGTAAAATAATACAATGTGCAATGGTTTTCTGTATAATTGTATTTTTTTCGTGCTTATAAGAAATAATTTTCCAAATAATAAATCAGGAGACGCGGTAATGTCTCCGGTCATGTTCAAAAACTGAGAGACACTACAAGTCTCTTATCCCGAGCCACCAAAGTCCATTTTTTTGGGAGGTGCATAACTACTAAAATATAAAAAATTTTGAAACAAACGTTATATGTCCTGAAAGGCGGCATCGCCACGAGTAATTTGAGCCAAAAATATTAAAAATCGGTCAAGCCGTTCTAGAGATATAAGCGGTTAAAATTTTAAAAAATCAAGAATAATTTAAACATAATCAAGTAGATTAATGTTTAAGTATTTACGACATAAAACTCTCGAAAGTGACTTGAAACAGATAATACTTAAACATGACAGATTAAGAAATAATGGAAACCGAAAGTAACCAAGCGCAGCCTGATAGAATATAAGATACATATAAATGTAAGATAGAATATAAGAAGGAATCGAAAGTACTTTGAAGTGATCAACAAAGAATTCGAAAATTACTTGAAACAGATAAATGCTTATTAGGAATAGCCTTTAAAGTTAATAATCTTTAGGAATTAGTTTTTTTTTAATTCACGTCATGCAATAAAATATTTTATTTATATGATCGCTATTCAATTCAACAGAGATGTATCCTAAGCCGAAGATTATATTTGTTAGAAACACTTATGAATAGACTTAACTTTAATAAACTGATTGAATATTTAATGACTATTTACTTCTCAATATTGTGTTGAGGATTTTTCATATAGGCTTCACTGTATATTCAAATAAAGACTGAATAACCATTTGTAATTTTTATTGAGAAAACTGAGATGAATTTAGAGATACAAAAATTGATTAAACTTAATTGGATTGATTCTAAAGAGACTGATTAAAAACTAAAAATAAATTTTAAAAGATTCGAATCCTAATAATTTTAGAGAGCAGACTGATCGCAAGAAACAAACGAAGGACGGATTATGTCCTAATAAAAAAAATGAGTGTTTAATTAATACAATTTTTACATATATGTCATTTGAATTGTACAATTAATTTTCTTACTTTATGCTAATTTCTAATTGCAACTAATTATAATTTGCTTTTCCGTTGCAACATATCCAAAAGTAATGGCGTAAAGTATGTTATGATGCAATCAGCGCCTGCTCTTCTCATAGAAAGCAATATCTCATTGAGTACATTCTCTAAGTTAATTGCACCATTTTGTGCACCGTGATGCAGCATAGCGTATTCGCCGGATACTTGATATATAAATAAAGGATATTCTGGATGTGCATCCTTTGTATGTCGCACCACATCCAAATAAGGCAGTCCTGGTTTCACCATCAGCATATCCGCTCCCTCATTCACGTCTCTTGCCTTTAAAAAAATAATAAAAATAAATATTCTATGTATTATATACATAATATTTTTGCATATGTATTTGCATATAACATATATGACATTTAAAATTTAAAGAATGACAATTATTGTTATTTTTATAATGTAGGGCACAAGAAAGAGAAATGGAATAAAAACAATCAAATTTTAAAGAGTAATATCTTTGATATTTTATCTCTCATTCAATATCCTTCAATATAATTACAAAAATATAATATAAGTACTCGACTTTCTTAGTTCTGTATTGTTACTATCTTGTAGTAACATAAGTGTTATAATAAGTAAAAAAAACTTACAGCAGCTCTGGCTGCTAATCCATTGCTTCCAGGAGGCAACTGATAGCACTTGCGATCGCCGAATTTTGGTGCAGATTGCGATGCGTCTCGGAAAGGACCGTAAAGTCCTGATGCAAATTTTATAGCATAAGATAAAACTGCTACTTTATTAGAAAATCCAGCAGCAGCTAGACCTTGCTTTATTGCACTAATTCTACCATCCATCATATCAGATGGCGCAACAATTTGCGCGCCTGTAATGTAGCATTAACAGTTATAAAACATAAAAAAAAAAATACTAAATTCTTTTTAAGACCGTACAATTGATAAACAATAAACATACAAGAAGAAGGAAACCAATAACAGTCAAAGCCACTAACGATCAAAGCTGGATCACAAATGCTTATTAGATTTATGTGTGAATTTTATATACTACGTATGTAGTCCCTCTAATCGCGTGACAAAATTAAAAAAAAAAAAAATTATATAGTTATACTTTAGAAACAATTTTCAGCAACATATAATCTCTTACCAGCTTTTGCGTACGACACAGCAACTTCAGCAATCCGTTGGATACTATTTGCATTATTTAGGCTACCATCACTGTTGAGAATACCACAGTGTCCATGATTTGTATATGGACATAAACAAACATCACATGCTATTAATAGATTAGGAAACTTTTCACGCAATAATGGTAGAGCTTGAATAATAGGATTCCTTGCACTGTCAGCATTGCTTCCAATCTCATCCTAAAATCAAAAACTCTTTAATTAAAATTAAGTAGAATTATTTTATTATAAATCTTCCCTCATTAAATATTTAATAATATTAAATTATACAATTATTTAACTTTTATAATATTCTGTACAGTTAAAAAAAAATACAATTTGCTTCATAAAAAAATGTTACCTTTTCAAGATATTGTGTTACACCAAATAATAAAACAGACTTTAAACCTTTTGCAACCAAAGGCTGTAACATCTTTTCTAACTGATTAATTCCATAACGATATACACCAGGCATGCTATTAATAGGATCTTTAGTATTTTCTATATCCCTGCAACCATATATATATATATATATATATATATACACATAAACATATATATATGTTTATTATTTATGCTTGATACAATATATACAAATAAAACTTTATAGTGTAAACACTAAGTAAGTATTCTAAAAAATTTTAAGGGATGATTCTTCACACAAGATGAAAATTTTATATAATCATACGTTCGACAAACAATATTCAAAGATACAGATTATGAGGAATCATTCTTTAAAATCTTATACTGTACCTATCCACCTAGTATTGGGATTAACAAATCTATATATTTACATATACAGATTATAGATTGCTTAAAAATTTAATTTAAAAAACATATATGTTTGTACATATTATATATATAGTAATCACATATATTACTTACGAAATAAATATCGGATACATAAGATTATTAACAGTGATCTCAATATTTGGTGACTGCCATTCTCGTAGTACAGGATGAAAAATTCCACTGTGAAGAGTGTGCTTAGCCAGAACTGCCGTCATCTTCATTGTGCTTCAATTTTTTCTTTGCTTGTAGTAAATTTCTACTGTAAGTCTTCTTGCAGATATACACTAGCCACTTGATTTTATCAACCTGCTGTCAAGACGACCAATTGAACCTACACATATGTCAAATAAATAATATAACTTATTAAAGCAATGCAAATTTATAAGTACATTAATTATATAAAATAAGACTGTTACAAAAGATAACTCAGCTACGCAATAAAATTCCATTTACACGTTAGAAGAGTACTATTTTTATACGTTAGAAAAGTACTAGTTTTATACATTAAAAACCACTTTATCATATTTTTATCAATATAGATTAGCTTTAATCTCGGTTTAACTTACTATCTATTTTTTTTCTAATCCCTACTTCTACCAATATAGAACTTTAATCTTGATTTAACTTAACTGTTCAGTTATCTCTAATTCTTAGAACTAAAAATAGATGAAAAGTTATTGAAACCACAATTAAAATTAAACGAACATGAATCCTCTCCTCCAAAAAAACAAAGTAAAATCAAGATTAGTTAAGGTTTCTACATTGATAGAAAGGGACACATAAAATGGACAAATAATTGAGAACATACGTGATCAAATTTTTTATGAATACATGTAACTGATACAAGATACTCTGTTATCAGATTCACAGAATTCTTCTTCTAAATTTGGGTGGCCCAGGTTCCGTGAAACCGGATAAACGTGGCCAGTCGTACCAAAAGATAAATTATATGCGTCAAAAGATAAATGTAAAACCAAAACGGGTGATGCAATGACCGCGAGAATGGCGTTGCTCGACCGGTCCCCGGGTGCCTGCGTCTATGGCGTCGTCACGCCACAATAACGCGCGTCACGAGAGCCCAGGTAGTCAAAAGGTGCAAAATGATGAACTATCGAGACGAGCTCAACCGCGGACACGCATCTGTGTAATACAATGCACAGTCAAAGTCGGCAACACTTTCAAAAATATACAATGAAGAGCACCCGAACCGAAACGCGTCCGTAACGGTCGGATGGTTCGTCGGAACTCAGAGATTCACAGAATTAATGATCTGTAAATGCATAATGAACTAAATGAGCATGACACACTGAAAATGTAGCTTCGTGCCATGCAAACGTGACGTAACAGGATATTAACAAGTAAAAAGTATACATAAATATATTTCTCATTCGTAATATGCACCAATAATTTTTATCGCAAACTACTTAAAGCTGTCGAATATCAAGCAAATAACCATTATTTATTATTTTTACAACTGACAGCAGCGAGTTTGAAATTTTCCACGAATTTTAAGCCTGTATCACAATATTTGAAAATTAAGAATCGTGATTCTACCAATTAGACCAAGAAAATATTTGTCCAAATCCCGTCTCGATGCTTCTTCATTTCTAATCCAATAAGTATAAATACTACAAATCAGTGATACGAGCTTGATTAGCTACCGGCTGCTTCTTTCAATGGCCTGGACTAGTAATCCTATAAGAGTTAGGACAAACCGCTGTCATTAACAAAACAAATTTACGTTGATTACACTGATTTTGTTACATGTAAGTTGACTATTACTGTAGAGAATATAGACGAGTTAGAAAATAAAATATGTGTGAAGTATCTGGTATTTAACGTCTGTTTATTCATACGTCAGCTGATCATATAAAAAACAATCATTTCTGCAACTTGAAACTCGCGGTTAGTTATTATATATCGTTGATTTCGGCAACCAATCAAAAGTTGCGACCACACTTTTGTGTCCTAACTTTTATTATAGAAACACTAACCTGGGCCTCGATACGAGGTAAACTTAACCAGTGACAATTGGTGACAATAGAAACCTAAGGAACTACTGACCACGACTGCCACGAGAGCAACACGGCGCATGTCTCAACCTAACCCTAACTTCATCTTCTTGATCTAACCCTAATCTGATCTAACCTAATCTGGACGGGACCAGAGCACCAGACCACCAGACGTGGTAATTTTTACAGTCGCCTTTTGTCGAATAACGATGACGGACGCATCGAGTTTACCAGGTGCTTCCACGGGCCAGACCCAGAGAGCGATGTCAAGGATGCTGCGGCTGCGGGCCCAGGAGTTCCTTACCTCGCGGAAGCACGCGAACAACCTGTTAGAGATAATCAGCCATTGGGACGTGAGTAGAAGTAGAACCGCGTCGACACTGGATTTGCACGTTTGGTGTCTGAATTTAAAAAACAAACGAACTTAAAATAAGGAACATCCGAAGAGCTCTGTTTTCATTCACAGGAAGCTACTTCCTCGTGTCTGCTCACGATAGAAACAATATTTGTGGAAGTGTTGAAGCGTGGCGATATGTATATGGAACATACGATAGCTCTTACTGTTTCGGGTAAGATTGAATGATTAGCTTTATTTTTTTATGTTGGCTATAAACGGATAAGAATAGATAAGCATAGCATTTAAAAGTTTGTTTTTTTTTTTAGCTGAATTTCTTGCATAGTTTATCTTTTTCTTTCTCCAACATGAATGGAAAGGGAGAAAAGATGACGAGCAAGAAATTTAACTATAAAAAAAAACAGGTTTTAAGTTTGTTTTTATTAGCTAATTTCTTCGACTTTTAATTTTTTCCTTCTTGATGTCTAATTGTATTTATTGTATTTTAAGAAAATATAAAACTGTAGCTACTGAAAATAACTTATGCTATATATTTTATATTATATGTAAAAGATTTCTACGAACTATACATTTCTATATGTTTAAGTATTTATATTTTAATATTGTACATTATATTATTATGTATGAAATAGAACCTAGCCCAGAATCTCGCTATATCACTTGGTTAAGAAATTGTTACGAAGAAGTATGGAAGAAAATATTAGCATCTATGGAAAAGAGTCGTTTGGTTATTCAATTGCAAGCCCTTACTACTGCAATGAAACTAATGGCTGAAGAGGGTAAAGCTCTGATGGAGCCGCGTGATAATCCAGGATATCACTTTCCCTTGCACCGTTTAAAGCCTATCCTTATGACTCTACTGTCTCCTGAAAAAGATAATATTAATTTAATATCGAGATTCCAAGAGGTCACCGGATGTTCTGACGTTTTGTATTATACATGGAGATGTTTACCTTCTCTTACCCCAAAAAGACAACCAAAGGAAGTTTATATAAAGAATCTTTTGGAACTTATAGATAAAATGCCACTGCCAAAAGAAGAAGAAGGTAAATCATTTTTTTCAAGATAAAAATTTTGTGCTATTATATAAAATAATTCAATTACACATATTTTACAGAAGTATATTTCTTTAATTATTTTATTACGCAATACTGTAAATTCTGTAAAGACATATGAAGCGTTAATAAGCTACTTACTGCTGTTTATAAGTTTTCGAATATTTATAATTCAACTCTCTTAATTTAAATAGATTCATAGTTTCTTATTTATTAATTTTATATTTGTAATCTGACGAATATAATAATTGATGTTTGTGTGTATATATATATATATATATATTTCAGTATCTAAAATGTCGGAACATAAGGAACTTTTGTGTGGGCCGCAACAAGGTAATGTATTAAATACAATATAATTTGCGTTTTATCATTATTCACATTTTGATTTCATTAATGTATGATAATGTATCTTATTTTTTTTATTAGATGCTACATTTACGTGGGATCAATTCAACGTCAAACGCGCATTAAACAAAGTCTGGGCTTGCATTATGCATTGGGAATTAACGCCACAGCTGCACAAACAGTTGCTAATAGTTTTGTTGGAACGAGTCATGCCGCATTTAGAAAAACCGATATTATTAACCGACTTTTTGATGGACTCCCTAGACGCGGAGGGTCCTATTGGAGTGCTTGCATTGCAAGGTGTATTCATTCTTGTCACCAAACACAATTTAGAATATCCAAATATTTTTACCAAATTGTATTCAATGTTCGAGCCTGAGATCTTCCATACGAAATATAAAGCTCGTTTGTTCTACTTATCCGATCTATTTCTCAGTTCTACGTAAGTATTTTACGCTTATGACAGAATCGTATATACCAAGAGTGGAATTACATTTGTGCGTTTATGTTGTATAACAAAAGCTATGGGGTAGAGATTTTCGTATTTCTCTGTCCTTTAGCCAATCAACGAACTGGAAAAATTTATCATACACACAAATGTAATCCCATCCAAGAATTGAGAAAATTATCTAAAAATTCGACGTTTCCTTTTCTAGACATCTACCGGAAGCATTAGTAGCAGCGTTCGCGAAGCGACTCGCACGTTTAACATTAGTCGCACCACCGGAAGATATTTTAATAATTTTACTTTTCGTGGGTAACCTGTTGCTTCGACATCCAGGACTAAAGAGGCTGATAGATCATCCGCAAGGTGATGAAGCCCCCTCGAATACGAGCACTGGAGCCGGCGATCCGTTTCTTATGGAAGAGCGCGACCCATTGCTGAGCAACGCATTGCTCAGTAGTCTCTGGGAGATTCGGGCATTGCAGTGGCATATTTTACCTAGCATCGCCACCGCTGCGCGTTTCATTCGTGAGCCACTGCCCTCCGTTGAGTATGACATGGCATCGGCATTAGAACGCACAGGACGTCATCTCTTTGAAAGTGAACTCAAGAACAAAGTTAAAGAAATCATGCTGACGTTCGAAAGACCAAACTCTATGGCACTGCCAAAAGGAGAGAAATTATTACAATACTGGCAGCTCACGCATTGATCCTGTACGTGGCGTAATCGCGACACCAAAAGTGCAATATATCATGAGAAAAGGGCCGTGACTTGAAGATCATTGGTGTTGCAAGTGAGGATTAAAGACTTTTTGTGTTTTATATGGAATATCTACAAGAAAAACAATACAGCATATTTTTCTGTGACGTTGAGCATCTATGTTTGAAATATTTCAACGAATTCGTGTATAATTCATTGATTTGATACAAACAAGAAAAATGCACACCCGTTTTTTGTTGTTTATCTCAGTCATACATAAATTGATAACTTACGTATTTTGCATAAATTGTATATAAATGCACAACACTGATCAGTATTTTTCAACTCTTTTGCTGCTCTTTACGTTATAAATTGTTACTACTTTGTAATTTGTTTATAAACAGAGTAAGAATTCATGAAATTTTAATTCATCACACATGTTATATATATATATATATATAGTGTGTTACACGCATTATGCATGAGTATAAAACACCTTGTATTTGAAATATTAACCTAATATTTTATATGTTGTAAGACAAAAAGTTTTTAAGCGTATTATTGGAACTTCTCTGTCCAGCAGCCAATTGACAAGCTTGAAAAATTTTGTCATACGACACACATAAAATGTCTCGGTCTAAGATTGTGGTAAATCAAGTAACTCTTTTTCAATATAAACTTTTTTTATATATCAATAGATAATTTATAGAAAAGAAAATATTATTTTTGTATTATTTAAAAGATAAAACAATTATAATCTGTACACATTAATGAAAACAAATATCAAATTTTATTGGATCGTGAGAATTTGAACTAAAAAATTAATGAAAAATCTGTCATATCATTTTTCATTGGTAATATGTGCGCGACTTATTTTATTTGCGACATTAAGCATTTGAAATCTAAAGATAATACCTGTACATATTCATAAATATTTATTTCAACAATTATTCGTGGTTAAATAAAAAAAACATGCGTGTGTATTTACAAGATAAATTTTATTTTTTTATCGAGATCATTAAATCGAAATTGAAATAAACTATATGCTAATTCATTATTTTTTGGCATATATAAAAATAGAATTTATATAGATTTACATTACTTTTAATTCTTCAAAAATGAATTTCTGATCGATGCAGCGTAAGGGTTGAAGCTACTGATTCTTTCTCATGTAAAGCAATGGGTCGTTAACTGATAAATTTAATTCATACCATAGGTAATTTTGCATAATTTGCAAAATCCGTACATGTGCTGGTTACCGTACATAACATTCTCGAAGCGATTTTTTGTATGCGTAAATATAAAATAATAAACTGAGATATTTTAATTTAACAAATAACTCATGATATAATGCTGTTAATATACAAAGCTATTTATAACACATAGATAAGCAAGATTCAATTGCAGTTTACTTATAATCTATTTGGAATCTTATATTTTTCTTTTTCTATAAATATATTTCTATATATGTATATTATTTTCATCATTAGCCTTCCTTGTATATGTCACAATTCAGTATATTTGCGTATTATTTCGTATATGTATATACAAACGCTTTTATGTACATCATTTATGTTAATCGATAAGTTATTACAGTATCATTATGTATGATGTCGCTTTGTGTCTAATACCTGAAAAAGTACCATAATAAAAGATTATTAATTTTGATTTAATCGGGATCATTTATTTAGTAGCAATATATAATGAAACTACTCATTTATATAATTAATAATCATTAACCTTTTAAATATTATACATAGTTGTTTACATGTAATTAAAAAAATCAGGATTGAGAGAGAAAGCAAAACAATCTCCATATTCAAGATAATTACAATGTTCTGCTACGGAACTAAAAAAATTAATCTTTTTTTCTATGTACAAATATTACATAAAATTAATATTTATAATTCTTCAAAATTTTAAACACGTCAGAATTATTTAAAAGTAACCGTAAAGTATTAACTATATTAAATCTTATAGGATCATGAAAAATAAAGTCAATGAGAAACAGGCCCAGTCAAGCTGGATCTTAAGTGCTTCTATAATTGCGTGTGAATTTATATATTACGTACGTAGTCTTTTTAACTGCTCGCCGAAATTTTTTTTCACACTTGAAATGCAAACTCTACTAAACTATACTCGCAGTAATATCACAAGTTAAATTGATTAACAACACAGATATTGTTTCTATGTAGTATATAAATTCACACGCAATTAAAGAAGCACCCAAGATTCAGCTTGATCGTTAAGGCCTGTTTCTCATTGGTTGTAAAGTATTAAGTTAATTTAATAACACTTGATAGTGATTGCTCTTTATATTAAAAATGCATTTTGCTGCAGTATCTTTTATACTCTATTGTATTCATGTAAAATAATCTTTTAGAACAAAGCATTACGATAAATTCTCACCTGGACTAATAGTCGCCATTCTTCCTCGTTTAGAGCATGCTTTATCTTCACAAGGATGTTTGCTGGCAAATCGGAAGGCACCGAAACTGGTGTAGTATTTTGCGTAAAAGGCACATATTGCACCTGCAACAGTTGTGACACTGTCGGTCTTGCTTTTGGGTCGTGTTGAAGACACTTTCGCATCACATCAATTAGAACAGACGGTACGTGTTCACAACTCTGACGATTCTCGCTGTTCATTGTTGTAGGGAACAAAATATTCGGTTTCGGATTAGTTATAGCATTCACTTTTGCCCACTGAGTACGTATATGTTGGAAAGGAGTATATCCATATACCAAACTATATAATATACATCCCAATGACCATACGTCTGATTTGAAACTTATCTGTCAGTAGAAAAAAAAATGGAATTTTTTATCCGCTCTATAGTTTTTAATTTATAAATTTTTAATTTATTTATATTTTAATGTAAGTTATAAAAAATAAGATGATTAAAAGGCTCAGTTGAATAAATCACAAAAACAAACAAGATGCCAATATGAGCCAACAACAAGTTCCAGGTCTACGTTTCATTGTTTATTTCTAATAAATTGTATAAAAAGTGCACACTAAGAACTTGTATTGGCATCTTGTTTGTTTTTGTAAGTTATAAACTTTTAATTTAGTTATGCATTTAAATAAATTATAATTTCAATTTGATTTTAATTGAAGTGATCCTAATATATCTAATTTTCTCGAAATATTTCTTTGAATAATTATAAAAAAACATCTATTTTGGATTATTATTTAATCCCGTCTTACTTTGTATTTAACGTTGTGTGTAGGTGAATCCCCATTTCCACTAATATCCATTAAGGCTTCTGGACTAATATAATTTAACGTTCCAATCGGATTATTTTTTACAACAGATGTCATATCCGAATTCAGATTAGAAGCAATTCCAAAATCTATTAATTTGAGTCGGCCTCGTACTAGTAAAAAATTCCCTGGTTTCAAGTCTGAATGTATGACCCCTAAACACAAAAATGCATTTTGTCACGAGATAAAAAATATGATTTTATATCTGTAATTAGATATATTATTTTTACCATTATCATGTATGTGTTTTACAGCTGTGAGCATTTCAGTCCAATAATAGAGAATCATCGTAAGAGAGATTTGCTTCTCTTGAGACATGGATTTCAAAAGTCGACTGAGATCAGTATCGCCCATTTCCATCAACACATAGACCATAGAGTCTTTGATTTGACTGAAATGATTAAATAAAATTAAAAATTACTCTCTTTAATTTTTAGATTTATTTAATACCATACTAATTGTAAGAACTTTCAAAAATGTTTTCATCGTACGAAATTGTTATCTATGAATTTGTAATGTTGCAATATATACTTACTAGTCGAACATTTTGACAACGCAAGATGCCTGTAATTTACGCAGCATGGAAATTTCATCCAAGCAGCCCTGGGCTGAGTCTTTGTCCATCTTGCTTAAATCAACGCATTTTATGGCGCGTAACTCGCCGCAAGATAGATCCTGTACTCGCAAAACCTCACCACTCATTCCTCGGCCGAGAGAGCCTAGGATCAAGTACTCTTTACCTTTTATGGTTAATGTTTTGTCTTGTCGCTGGGGAGTGCTCAACGGTACGGTGAACTGCACGTTTGTCATTTTATCTACGATTTGCATTTCGTTGTTTTGTTTCTCGAGGACGGAGTAACGCGAATTCTTGCAGTTCGTATTCGGAACGATGTTGTGTTCTCCGCTGTACTTTTTAGAATCATGTATTATCTTCATATCCATATTAGAACCAATTATTATCTGTTTGTCTTCATTTTGGTTTTGTACAGTATTTCTATTTCCTAGCACATTAGACTGTTTGTTCTCCTTTACTTCCTCAATAGGTTCCGCTAATTTCAGATCTAAATGTAATAATAATGCACATAATAAAATACAATCATGTAATAATTTAATTACACATAATTTGATCTAAATTATTATATGATTGTATTTTAATTTTAATTGTATAGCAATACTTACCTTTATCATAATTTGTTTTTGTTTGCATTAATTTCACATCCGACAGTCCAACCGTTTTCCTATTTCTATCCTCCTGTAATTGTGACTCAGATGTCATGCTTTTTACTTCAGAACGTGTATGCAATATAAGCGGTTTTGATTCCACAGAATGAACCAAACGTTCTCTTTGGGGTATCAATGTCGTATCTGTTAAAGGCCGCCTCACATTTTTTACATCCATTCTACAGTGTCTAAATAATGAAATTTAAAATTAAATTAATATTCTCAGATTGTTCAAATATCTGTACGAAATAATATATTTTGATCGTAAAAATAAGAGTAAAAATAGTCTTATTGTTGAAAGAACAAATTAAACAATTGTTTCTAATACATAAAATTGAAAAATAATATTAGAGTGTACTATAAACCTCGAAGAATCAGGTTTTTCCATGATAGGTGTACAAACTGCATTTTTAGATATTTGCACTTGGTCCCTCGTAACAAAGTTCTTCTTTTCCATCGGTGTATGTATCATATTATGATACCAATTAGATAATATTGTGGAAGGAGTTTGATTTTTGTTCAGATCCCCAGATAGTTTGTTCTGTGGAGTTTGAAACAACTGCTTATGTGATGTAGATGAACTCGGTTGCACATTGACTTGCATATGCTTCAATGGAGTTTCTGAAACTAAGCGAGTAATCATAGATAACGACTTACTCGCTTCGTTGAGAGAAGGTGTGCTAAATTCCGTACACGTATTTTTCGCAGGTGTATACTTTTCATTCGCTTCATATTTCATGACATTCTTTTGCGAATTATATCTTACAGTATGCATCAAGTTTTCAGATGTCTGAGCTGTGCAAGTAGCAGATTCTAACCGAGTGTGCGTAATCTTCTGAGAATCTTCCTTACTATCCTTATTTGCCTGTTCAGTAAAACCTACGTATGTGCCTTTGTATCGTTGATCATCCTTACTTAGATTCAACTCACTATTCCTTGTTAACATCCTATTCTCCTCTAACGTGTTATACACAGACCTCTCTTTTCTTTTATTTAATATATCTAACATATAAGCATTTTCGTGATGCAATTGATTGCTATTTACTGCTTGCAAATTATTCAAATCTGTGTTATAATCCCCTTTATAAATTGACAGCGATGGTGGAGGTAAGGCTATATTTGTCGAATGATTATAAACAGTATCTACTTGATTTTCCGTAGCAAATGTTGCAATGCGATATTCCTGTGGTTTTCCTTCTTGCTTAGAGCTGCAAGTCTCTAGTTTGCTCGAATCATTAAGTGGAATATGACTTTCAGAATTTATATCGCTAACTTTACATTGTTCCCTATTAAAGTTTAGTCCTTTTTGTATAGAAGAAGCGTTAGTTACAACTTCAAGATTCTCTTTTGGCAGTACACACGTAGTTTTTAAGATTCCATCTGTTAACTCAACCTGTGCCGAATTGATGTCTGTTTCAAGTACAAGCGTTTCCTGTAGGACATCTTCAACAAAGTTGTCTTGTGGTAAAGGCTCATTGAATTCGTCTGACTCGTCCTCAGAATGACAAGGCTTTTCTTCACTCTCGTCGTCATCATCCTCATCGCTTTCACACGCTAGAAGCGCCTTGAGACGTACTGGCTGAGACTTTGGGAGCGTGACATTCTGTGTAAGCAATCTACCAGCGCTTATATTATCAAAACTATATCTGTCGTTTGTCGTAAGATCCGACATTATTAAGAGATTTTTGAGGTACTCTTCACTGATCTGTAAGATAAAAACAATATGATTTAACACATATATCCATGTATCATAATCACTTAGTTATTTTATTTAAAAAAATGAAATTATGACAAACATAAAATATTATAAATTACTACTAGCTATAATAATGTAAATTTTGTTTTGATATATTTGAAAATATATTAATATATTAGAAAAAAAAGAATTATTAAAAAACATATAAGACTAAGTACATTTGATAAACAAAAATTAGAAGATATCGTTCGCAGTACTTCTTTTATAAATTTTTTTCAATTAAAAATAGATAAATTTTTATTATTTAATTTATTTAGAACAATATTAATTATGACAATATTAAATGTAAGAATATTATGTAGACTTTTTTTAACATATTATTTTAGATATTAAAAATCTCTTCTTTAAATATATATAGTAAAATAATTTTATGATTGTCTCAAAACAATATATTTTTATATAGTACAATAGTACATAAATTATCATTTATATAGGAGTATAAATTAACATTAATTTCATATTCCACTGCAATATAATTAAATTATTAATGTAAAAAATTTTTATCTGGCAAATTTGTTAAGAATTTATTATTTTTATAAAATAATTTGTTACATGTATATACACAATATGTATATGTTATAGAAGCTAAATAAAATATTACTTTAATTAAGAAGACATTATTGCACAAACACAAATAATTGTCATTATAAAAAACGTAGTATAAATTAGTTAATTTAGCGGAGTTAATTTTTTATTACTTTTCTTTTCCTCTCTACCTGCAAGATGGATTTCCAGTCTAACTCCCATCACTACATCAAGCTTCCCCAAAATGCAAGAAACGGCTTGTATCCTAACCTTTTATTTATTTTGGTTGCCGTACAATTTAGCTCCTTACCTACGCGCGCAATTTTTCTTGCCCATGATTGGCTGTTAGCGTCTAATCGCGAGCTCCTGATTGGAGCATTCTTGGTAACCCTATTCTTGAGCATCGAGAGTAACAGAGAGAGCGCGTTACCGGCATTCATTCAAATCATTCAAACGTTAGCTTAGGAATAAGATGTACTCGTTTGCGTGATTACGTTCCCGCAAGTGTAATAATAACGTTATATTCAATAGGTGAACGTGTTGACTCATTCATTCGACTTCCTAGTGTTCACATTTCCTGACTATCATTTATCCTGATATATTTTCCTGCTGTTTCCAAGGCGAATTGTTAAAACCTTTAACCTCTCTCTTACAGCAAAGAATTTTCACAAGTCAGATATACCTCTCGCCACAAGTTTTTTCTTCCTGAGTACTTTTAAGTTTCGAGGCTGTCGTTAAGTCTATCACCATTACGGCTCGTATTCGCATCGTGTTATACGCCCGTGGAGCAGAACGATTCTAACGTTGCATTCGACAAGGCGCATCGTCAGTGAGTTTGAAATACTTGTTCATTCGCTGCCTTACTTCCCACATCCGCATCGGAGTTATATATACATCAATATAACTTCAAGATTGTCTACGTGACGTAAGCAACAATGAATTATTATTAGCATCTCGACAAGTTCACGCTCAAAGAGCTTCAGGAAGAGTGTGCCCGCTACAAGCTTGCACCTAAAGACAATAAACCAGTATACATTGACATTATTATGTCACTTTTTGAGTGTTGAAAATAGTTCCAGCTTTTCGACCTTATGAGTGAATGATCCAGCGAGCAATACTTCGTCTCAAGATAAGTCTATGCTGTCTCAACAGCGTTTGCAATTAGAGGAATTATTCGAGTCTCTGTCTCGTTACTCCGGATTTACAATACGTGTTTTAAGCCTTAAGCTGTAAGAAACTAACCAATTACAATCAAATTTGAGGAGAATAATCAACTATAATTTATCCATTTCTTATGGCTTAAGGCTTAAAACTCTATTATAGATTTAAACTTACAGAACAAATTCAGCAGCAGCAGTAGATGATAGCCCAGTTAGCAAGTTTAGCTATCAGTCATGCGAGTGGTTTGCAAGATCTTTCTACTTTAAGCCATTCCACAGCCATCTCCCCCTAATGAAAGTATGGAAAGCGATTCACCACTATTAGCAAACGTGTCAACTGCTCAAGCTGTCAAATTACTAGCCAATCAAATTGCTTCATACAGTGGTTCCGAAGAAGAGGATGTAGAAGTGTGGATACACAAAGTAGAGTGTATCGCCGCAATCCATGGCGTACACGTTATTAGCAGCATCAAGCAAACTTACCAAGAGTACCCGTAATTGCTTTGATTTAAATGATAGAAATGTTAATATCTGTTGATTCACTTTCAAAAACGCAATAATGTCATTTCAAAAGGTATGTACCTTTCCATGTAACAATGCAGAGAGTGGAAGCTTGTAAATGGAACTTTAACAAAGAAACGTTTCATGAATGTTTTGCAAAAAATGAAGCTGTAAGGTATAAACTAAGTTTCTGCCGTTGGGCTGTGTGACTCCACGAGACGGTTGCTTGCTAATATGAACAGCTACGAGGCCTTGATTTCAAGTCCTGGAACCAGTGGAGCGCCTGACATTTTTTCTCGACCCAGCTTTTACAGTAATAAACAGTTACCTGGAGAGACGTGTCTCACATGTATGCTACGAATTTATCGAAAAATCGACGTCAAATCTATTCTTCAGTGATCGGTCTCAAGATCAAAATACACAGACCAGAGAGAATTCAATAGATATCTTTAGGCCTCTGTACACGGTCAGTAATACTGTCAGTATCAACGAATACTGACAATATTATTGATTATGTGTGTGGTTAATATTAATGGATTGACGTAGAATACTAATAATGATTTGGATTTAAATACATGCTTTTTCCTTAAGATCCATGTCGCCATAGATAATAATATACGTCAAATCACGTCAAACTGAAGTGAAATATTATCAATAATACCTGATCGTATAAGATTGTAAAAACTAATGCATACTATCAGTAATACCGATCAGTAATACTGACTCAGTATTACTGACCGTGTAGGGAGGCCTTTTGTTACGAGTAGACAAAATACGCACCTATCAAACTGAACAGTCTCTGTAGATCCGAATCATCGATCGATAGATAGAAGGCACACTGAGGCACACTATATACACGCATCACAAATCTGTCTACATCCGTTTACACTTAATTAAGCAAAGATGTGTTATTTACATTTTGTTACATTCGAATAATGGTTCTATCTACATACGCCACATGATATCCTCACTTTGTGCATCGTTTTTCGAACTTCAGTATCTGTTAATCACTGAACTATTGTTAATGCCTGCTCGACTCTACCGGTCGGCCACCGCGTCACATATGATGTTTGAATTCGCCAGCGCAACGTTCATTGGTCGATGTCTAGGGACAATTGGCGGCAAAATGCAATAAGAATATTTTAGGGAAAAATTTGTTTGCTTTAAGCGGGACATTCAAATGTAGAATCTGTCATGATCTTATGTTACCTTTATATACATATGTAAAAATTGATTTAGATATAGATCTTGCACTTTTTACATTCAGCATCTTTGCTCTCTTCTTCTCTTTTCAATGTTCAAATATATATCTATCTTAAAAAGTTGAATAATTTTTGGAGATTTCAAGCAACGCAAACCTTATTTTATGAAATACATTATATAATAATGTAGATATATTACTAGAATATTTTTTATTACATAATTATTTATTTATAGAAAAAAGGATGTATGTGAGCATGGGTCATGAATGGCTTAAGATTTTTTATAAATCAAGTCCCCTTCTTGGCTGTAAAAAATTGAAGTGCAACAATTACTACTACTATATAATTTGATCATATAAATATTAGCTATACTTAAATAAGAGTATTAGATTATACATGTATAATGCCCATTTCCACCAATGCAGATTAATTTTAATCTTGGTTCAATTTGCTCTTCATCTTTTTCTAATTCTAGAAATTAGAAAAAGATTAATAGTAAGTTAAACCGAGATTAATCTGCATTGGTGGAAATAGGTATAAGTGATAAATTGTAGGCAGCTATACCGAGAAAAAATTTCGGACGCTCCACCGGTGCCGAGACTTGAACAGAGACTTCGAGTTGCGACTATATAGCAAGTAACCGTCTCGCCGCGGAGCCGTACAGCGCGACCGGATAGGAAATTAGTTTTATATCCTACAGAACATTTTTAATAATCGAGTAATTAGTTGAATAAACTTAGATTAAATTTATATATCGAAATTAAATAAAAAAATTAATAGTCGGTTTTTTTAAGATTTGATAATAGCAAATTTATTTGATTTTTAAATTTCAACATAAAATATTTCATAGTGCAAGTTCGATCACAACTGTTTCGCTGATCGATTGATATTTAGGGAATTTTTGGACGAGAAACTTGTATTCTTATTGCTAACGCATTGAAAATATACTTTTTTTTTTAAAATTACGTAGAACATAAGCAACAAAAGATCAGTAATAAGTGAATCGCTCAATCACAGTTAAAACGTTACATTAGTCTTATAAAAATTAATAGTACTTGTATATAATAAGGTATAGATTGCGAACAAATGTACCGATCTAATAATTTATGTAAATACAATTAACATATGGTAATAGGAATTAAATGGTATATTTATGCAAATCTACTTTTAAATAAATTTGTTATATAAAAAAAGCGTGTAAATAAGTAATATTTTAATTTAAAGTGGAAAATACATTATAACAGTTTTCCTTAATTACCAACCGATTTATAGAGATATGAAATCTATTTGACTCAAATCTCATCGTTTCCAAACGATTGTATTTAATACAAAAATGAAGAAAATGCTAGTAATAGTTTTGCTGCTGTATGTTAAAAATCGCGCGTACACAGAATTTTATCTCCTAATTGCAAAGTTATCCTCCCACCAATGCTAAATGTCCATAAAAATGTCCTTGGGAACTGTAATAGAAACCGAAATAGTCGGCTTAGTCGTCTTCTTTCTCATTGAGAAATGCACAGTCTTCGTTTCTGAAGTTTCTCCTTCTCTCCTCTGAAATATTGTCTCTCGCTTCATGGTTTTTGTCGTAAATTGTATCCACTATCTATGCAATTGTTAATAATAATAAATCGTTTCTGTCACAGTTCGCGCACAAATTACTCGGCGATTAAATTAAGTTATACTTAATAGCTATTCTCCTTTATACATCATCTCTCGTCTTAAAAAGAACCAATGTAAACCCGGTACTATTCGCTTCTCGACTTTTCCAGGAAGTCCGCTCCTGCACATGTTAGGAACTACTTGACAGCAAATATGATGACACAAGCGATTCGTACAAAACGGGTATATGTTCTATTTATAATCATCATCTCTTATTTATGATCTAGTAATTATTCTAAGCGTGTTTTTCTTCTCCTTCCCTCTATTTTTAATGAATAATGCTCAAAGTTTCTATACAAACATATTGGTTCTTCACGAAAATGTTGCTACAATTTAAATTAACATGACAATGATTCACACGACGGAACTAAACGCTCGCTCTCCTCTCACGTTCTCTCTCTTTCTCTCTCTCTCTCCCTCCTTCTCTCTTTCTCTTTCCCTCGTTTCCTCTTCTTTTCGTACAATGTCAAGAATTTAAAAACGTCGAGACAATGAACGAATTGAAAAAGTTATAATGAGCGGCTTTGTAGAACGTATTCTTCCTCGCGCGACAACATATTGAGGAAACAGATATAAAAAATATTTTATTTAAATCTTTAAGGATGAAATTAGGAATTCCGAGTAATGAAAGGAAGTATTCTAGGCTACTCCGAAGATAATCTTAACGTTTCCCGTTATTATAGTTGAGAGCTCGTAATGGTGCTTTGAACGTGGACGCAGACTGTTGCTGGATCTGATATGCTACAGGATGAATTTTAAAGCCGTATAATCTGAAAAATAAAAGCTATCTTTTGATTTCATATTATATATAGAGATCCTATAAAGATTAGTATGTTATCTCCACTTTATACAATACATCGGACGTTATGCACTCATACTATAATACTAATCTTTTATTTTCATATTGACATCAAATAATTGATGAATATTTTAACATTGACATGGATTTTTTCAATTTTTTGGATTTGGAGAACAACAAGAAATTTTCGTAATCAGTCATCCTATCGTTTGACGAGCAATTTTCCGTTTCTCTAATTAAACACTTATCTAACTGTGTAACAAAATCGTCGACTTTTCAACTTTTAAGTTTAATAATTTACTGTGTTCGAATTTTTGTATACCTGAAGAGGAAAAATACTCGTATAAGGCCGAAACATGTAGAAGTGTAATGTTTGTAATATATTTTTGCAGCGTGGAATGTATTGTTATTTTTCGTAGTTTTTTTAATATTTAAACTTAATACACTTATATTAACTTAATTATGGAGGTTTCTTTTATTGTTTCTTGATTCTTATAAGCGCTTTGCATATCATATTATTGTATTTTAAATATTAAGAGTCTTATAACTTTCTATCTATTTTTTATATATTTGAATGATCTATTTTTCGCATAAATATTATTTCATTTTACTTCTATAATTTGATCATAAAATATCGAAATTCTAATTTAAAATTTTCATAATCAAAAACAATATTTTTAACATTAATCTCTTTTGCCATGTAATTAGTTATTCCATTATGAAAAATACTTTTCATTTATACGTTGATATATAATCTGATACATACCTAGGTACAAATTGATTTACCGCACGTTTTGGTCTATATTCAGGATGGACCATGAATAGCATATGTGGAAATCCCGTTCCAAAATACGCCCCGTCAGTATGATGATGTCTCGAGCTTTTCGGTGTATAAACGTCCATGCACTTAGGACAGTAACTCTTGACCATTGCCTCGCCAGGAACATCACTAAGCCCTAGCGGCAACATTGGCTGGGATTCACAATAAACTCGTGGACAATGACCGAAATCACCCGCTTGGTACTTTTCGATCATTTGAGCGATACCACGATTGGTAAGTATATAACGTGCGTGAATAAGACCATAAAGCATCTCCGCAGCCTGTTCGATTAAGTCCGATTGATTTGGATTGTCGTCCAGATCATCATCTAACAAATAAAAATTAAACAAATATTAGAAATAATCATGTGACATATATCTTTGTTCGTTTTCAATTTAATACTCTTAATAATACTTCAATTTACTGCTATTAAAACAACTTACCAGGTTCAAGATCAAGAATCATATCTAATGCCTGACGATAATGTGGTACTTGTTCATTCAGTCCCGTTAAATTAAATTTATCTTGGATGTAGTCCTCATCCACCTAGATTTAAATTAAATAAATACATAGTAAAGAGGTCTTATTATTTTATTCTTAGATAAGAATCCAGAAATATATCCGGAAAAAATTAAAAATACACTTTAATACTTTGCCCACTTCAGGAAATACAATATCTTTATCTAATTCTCCATAATACATCACTAAACCATTAAAATGGAAATCTATATGTTTATTGTGTCATTTTTCTGTGACTCTTAATTAGTTTCAGAAGTATTACTAAAATAAATTATAAAAGGAAGAGAAACATTTTTTAGTGCAGATTAGATGACATAAAATATATGAAAATGTAGTATTTTACAATTAATGAGGCATAATTTGTATGAAAAAAATGTTAAGATTTAAAGTATATAATTATCATAATTAAAAATTGTAAAGTTAAAAAAAGAATTATATATCTTAAAACAACAGTATCATAGTCATATATGTATAATAATAAGATGACTAATGAAATAGCATGATTATGAATAGGAAAACAAATACCATTTCTTATAATTCTGCTCCTGTTTTATTGCTCTTTATTTTTATACTAATTATAAACAAATTTTTGCAGAATAGATATCGTATTTTTGCATCAATTAATTACATAAATGAAACGTACAAATAATTTGGCTTTTCAGTATTAAACATAAATTTGTTTTTTACTCCTGTATTATTAGACTACACTAGAACTTTCTCTTTCACTTTTGTCAAATATCAAACGTATATCTATTTCATTTTAAGTTTCAAAAGTGTGTATTAGTTTACTTGTAAAAAAATAGAGGTTTACATGCTCCAATGCATTCCAACATGTTCTTACCATAGTTTTTATTCAGTCAAATATACTTATTGCAGTAAATAAGAGCTATAGTTGGACCATGTTGGAACATGGAGCATGTGACGTGAACAAACTTCAGACCTCACGTATCCATCATGTAAAATATAAGTATATATTTGACAAAAGCAAAAAAAAGTTCTTTTTAACTGAACTTCTTTGCATAAAGTGAAAAGAAAAAAGATGGACCATACAAGTTCTGCTTAAAAATACAATTCTAGTACAGTCTAATGCAGCAATAGAAAACAAGTCAACACTTTGCATGATTAGAAAAATGATAAAATATAATATATAAAAAAATATTTATATAAAGATGTGTCAAAAGATACATATTGCTGAGCTTTTAAACACATCGATGATAACATTGGGAGTACGTTCTTGATTGATCACTTACCTCGCAAAAGAACTCGTTCCCGCGTAAACCACAGAACCACGAGATCCAGGACACCTCCTCGGAGCTGCTCATTTTCCTGCGGCAGAAGAAACCGAGGGGAGAATCCCGTTATTAAGTGTTAGGCGGAGTAAGCGAGGAAAAAAGCGACCAAGGCCAAGGCCCGATGAAGAGGTTGCACGTATCACGTTTTCACGTTCGCTCGGTGGCTCCTTCACACGGTGTGTGAACGCGTCGTCGTCGATGCCCACATTGCGTGTAGGCAAAGTTGGTTAGAACAGCGCGAACGCGGGATCGACGGGGGCGGGAGAAGACTGCAGGGTGAGAGCAACGGATGGACAGACAGATAAACGTAGGTAGGAGGGTAGCGCGGGGGTGTGCAATGGAGCTCGCTTTACTAGGCAAGATGCCCGACAAGTTACGGCCCGTCCGGCGCGTTCACACCTACGTTTCCGTGGTCATTGCTGCTTCGTCAGCTGTTTTTCGAATACGATGTACGATGAGACGCGGCCAGGAAGCGCATTACTCGTGCAAATTGCCAACGCGGAGCACAGCTACCCGACGGAAAACCAAAAATAAACAGCCCTCGCGGCTTACCTTTTGGTGCTTTGATTAGCCACGCTTGCTCAACCGAACGGTATAGCTGGCGCTATCGGTGCGCGCGCATCGCCTCCGCCATCTTCCGGCGTATTGCGAAACGTTCAAAGATCGTGTTTTAATGGTGGACAATGGATGGATTCACATTGTCGAATTCGAGAAGATTAATCGATTATGATTCGTCCATTTCTTATGACTTCAGACTTAAAACTCTTTCGACCTTTGACTATATGGGCGCATTCAGTGGACTCAATAGTTGAGTGATCGCTCGCTGTTATTGGTGTATTCTTTTAGATCTGAAATTCTGATTGGGTACTCTAGAAGAATACACGAATAACAGCGAGTGCTCACTCAACTGTTGAGTCTGCTGAACGTAGCCAATATTTTATTAATATTGTATTATAGTATTTACTAATAATGTAATTGATAATAAACAAAGTAATAAAATATATATATATTACATGAAAAAAAAAATTAAAAAAAATCTCCCCGACGGGGAATCGAACCCCGGTCTCCCGCGTGACAGGCGGGGATACTAACCACTATACTATCGAGGACTTGTGGGAATAAACGTGGAAAATTACACTCTAGTATTGAATAAGTACGTTTTTGATAAATATAGAAGATATATATACTTTAGAATTTTAAATACGATTGAATTTATTATCCAAAGAAAAAATTTATATCGATATACTCATTGATTTAATTATTTTTATTTTTATAACAAACAAGAGATATTTAATTATACAGTAATGTTTAGATTATATATATATATATATATATATATATTTGTATATATATAACGCGTGATTTGTAACACTGTTATCTTGTAGTTACTTGTATACTTAATAAATTAGCAACGTTATATTTTTTATTTGTAATAATACTCAGTTAATTTTTTAGATAACAATAATTAATATATTAGTTATTATCATTATTGTATACACCTACAATAAATATGTATGAAATAACATATATATAAATGAATTCAAAAAGAAAGAAGCATTACATTTGAATATGTTGTGAATTAATGATATTAATAATTAGGTGTTACTCTGAAAAAATGTAAAAATTCGGTTTAAAAGTATTAGAAGTTTTAGTAACTCAATACTTTTTGAAAAACGATAACAAAATACTTTTCCCAATAGGTAATGAGTTACTTTTTACAGTGAGTAATGGTAAGAAATTATTTTTTTAAAAACTTCCAACTCTGGTAATACTATATGAATTAAATATTTTGCCTAATCGAAATTTCTTCACATAATCTTTTCTTTTATGTTATATATGTATAAATAAGTAGCTTTGCAAAAATACATATTTTTTTAACAATAATTTTATTTATAAATCAATAAAACAAAGAAAAGCTACAAAAATAATCAAGGTTTATGTATTAATTGTAACAATATCTCGAGAATCTGTTGTTTCTGTTTGGATACGGCGATCCTTTGTCTCCTTTCTTCGATTTCTAATTCAAGTCTTGCTTCGCGTTCTTTTTTATCCATCTTAAATTTTTCTTCCTCAAGTTGAATTCTCCTCTCCTCCAAGTGGAATTGTTTCTCTTGAAATTCTACTTCTTTCTTGTGTCTTTCTTGCAAAAAATGCAATGTTGATTTTTTCAATGCATCATGACGTATTTTATTCCTTATTGGACCACCTGTTCTCGATGGTGATGTGGTTGGCGACTGTAATGGGCTCCCTGAAGTTAGTGGAGTCGATGACGAAGATGAAGATGATGAAGTTGGCGATGGTAAAGCAATTGGCAAGAATGTTGAAGACGTGAATGAAGGTATAGATGTTTCTATTGTTGGTACAGTTGGTTCTTCTATTATCACTTCTAAGGTATCAGAAATGTTTTCTAAAGTTATATCCCTCTGTATTCTTGATTTCTGTGCATTGGAGCCTTTGCCAGAACGCCTGAATTCTTTTTGCAAGTCTTGTATTTGCTGTAGCAGTCCCTCTTTTTCATTGTACTGTTCCTCAGTCCCTGATCTAAATATTAACAAACGTACAATAAAAGTATTTAATAAATATTTCTTTATATATATAAATGTACCATACCAGTTATGTTCATATTTCAACAAAACAAAAAATGAGTGCTTTTATTTGATGACACAAGTCGACACAACACTGTTAGAAATACTTCTTTTACATATAAATAAAGTTCACGGTTATGCACAAAATTAAAAGTAATAAATGATTTAGCTGAAAACTAAATTACAGTAATTATTTAAATGTAATGAACATGTGTATTAAAATTCATAAAATTTATGACAAGTACATGGAATTTTATAAAGTTTCATGAAAAATACATTAAATTTCATGTACATGTACACAAATATATTTTTTAGTTATAAATACATTAAATTTTAACTGTTTATATTAAATGTTAATAAAATTCAAGATCATTTCTAGCAGCAAAGTATCGTTCTGTTTTTCTTAATCATGAGATATCAAGAGAGTTTGTGTCAACTTGTATCTTTTGAATGAGAATCCTCAATATTATTTTAATAATCCATCTAAAGGTCCTTTCGTTTTAAAAGACACAGTTGACGATAAACATTGTTCTATCTTTCTTGGTGTTCAATGAATAACGAAAGATAAAACAACACTTATGTCTTCTGCGTTTCCTGAAAAGAAAACAGTTTAAGAGGATATATCAATTACAATGCATCACAGTGTAATTAATTAGAATAAAGCGATATCAGCTTACTTCTTTAAATATGCGCGGCCCTCTCTGGCCCAGATTTTCAGCAGGTGATCGACATGCTCCTTGACGCAGCGTAAACTGAAATTTTTCTGCGTCGCGTTCACGACTCGCTCGGCTACGGTTTTCCACCTGTCGCCTTCCTCGTACGGGTTCTGCCTCGAGACTTCTCGTAAAAGTATCAAATCATCCAGAATTGTAAAGCGGAGCCGCTCTGGTTTCGCCATCGGGCCTGGTGGCACACACTCTCATACGGATGTCTCGCCGTGTAACAGTTTTTGTCGTAGCCTTGCTGAAAAGCGCGAACGCTCTATCTTCCCCGCAATAACATAGCAACATGCCATTGTCGAGGAGAGATGTCTCCTCGCACAGCGCACGACCCTAGCTTCTTTGACGGAACCACCGACGAGATATATCTATTCTTACGAGAATTCGCGCGTCCGTGTTAATATTTAAATGATTAAGATAATATAGTATTAATTTTATGATTTATTAATTTCGTAAATATGTATATATATATATATGCACTTAAAACTCAATAATACTCGATTTTCTTTAAAATTGTATAACTTTAATGTTATCATCCAAGTTTGATTATCAACAGAGATGATAACTATATAGAGCAAAAAATTATATTATGCAGCAATAATATATGTAAGATTATAGCATTACAAGTATGTATATTTATTTATGGAGCATTTATATATAATAAAAAATCATGAATTTTATATATCGAATTAAGTCAAATTGCGGACTCAACATATACCTACAATTTTTGCATTCTTGCACATGAATGACTTTACCGACGGCAGATAAAATTATGAAAATTGTATGTCAAATAGTTGTCAGTGTTTATTCCCCTAACCTCAAAAACGTAACAAACACGATTTGATTCGATTTTCAACAAAAAAAAATTAAGATTGCTTGAACGTTCAAAAAAAAAGATTAAAACTGCTCTTGTCATCTACTTTTTCACGAAAGATCGTGAAAACTTTATAAGTAAGTGCTTTTTTTTTTACTCCAAAATATTCTAAATAATTATACCCAATTCTCAGATATTCAGAAATTAACTGATTAAAAATGAATAAATGTTAATATAATGTTGTATAATATTACTAGGAAAATTATCCTCAAAAGAATGTTAGAAATAACGTGCAATGATCGTCTCGGTAAAAAGGTTAGAGTGAAATGCAACCCAGACGACACCATAGGAGATCTGAAAAAGTTGATAGCCGCTCAAACTGGTACACATTGGGAGAAGATTGTACTAAAAAAATGGTACACCATTTTCAAGGATCATATAAAGTTGCAGGACTGTATCCTTTACTGTAAAAAACCGAGTCGTAATACTTTGTACATCTTATATATTTTAAGAAATATTTTGCTTAATGTACTGCCTCAGATGAGATACATGACGGCATGAACTTAGAGCTCTATTATCAATAATTCTATATAAAATAACGTTACATGTAAGTGTTTTTAATATAATGTCGTAATTATTAAACTTTCTTTTGTATACTAAATATATAATGTGTGTGTGCACGCACGCGCATATATATATAAGAATAAAAGGTTAAATATAAAATATAAAATAATCACAAATATCAACAAGGAAAATTTCTATTTTTGTATTATACAAGCCTCATAAATATTGCTATGTTTTAACAATGTCTAATTTATTCTATAAATTAATAGTTTCAATTGTGCCACACATAATATGATGTGTATGCCATTTGATATTAGTGCCTTTTATGACTTACATATGCAGGATGTAACTCAAAGATATAGCAAAGTGAATTGTATAGATAATGCTAAAAGAAAGATGATCTTGTTAGGCATATGAACATCTTTATCCTACAGCACCCTACAGCCTTGCTCTTGTAACTTTGCTATATATCTTGATCACATCCTGTATATTCTATATAAATATCTAAGTTCTATAATATTCAATAACTTTCACTCAAATATTACTGCAAAATGCAAACGCTAAAAATATCGTTAATGATGCTTTCTAAAACATTGATCTAAAAAGATTTTTCTTTCTGCTGTATAGAATTAAAATTATATAAAAAATATATCTGAGTATTGAAAATAAAATACGACTTGGCGGATCACTCTAAATGATAAAATCTCAAAAATTAATGTGGCCTCTTGAATAATCCTTCTACCCTGCTTATTGGACTTTCAGGTCCCACCATTTGTCTACCTCGGTTGCTTAAGAAGTCTCTTATGTGCTGCACTATCAGATCTATCGCCACTGCAACAGATCATGAAACATCAGTACATAATCGCGAATATATACACAATTACATCGGGGATAAGATGAATTGCTTTATTTGCAATATATCATTATACATTTTGGAACAATATCAAACTGTGGATATTTGGAGAATTAATTGTTACTATTTCAAATAATAATTGTGATCGCATTAGGATTACGTATGGTTTTATTATGCATAACACACTTGTGTTCATACTGTTTTGTAAATACAAGAAATTTTTTTAATTTTTTTTTTTATTAACAATATGCAATAAAGTGTCCCAGATGCTCTCTTTCTTTCTCTTTTGCACTTTTTTCAACTACAGATATTCATTGATGCAGATTAGTAATTTCAAAATAGAGACTTCTCAATAAAATTTACTAAAATTTAAGCTATATATGTATGTATATTAACAAATTAAAAGACTAATTAATTAAAAAGTTAACAAACCAAAAGATTTTAATAGAAATTTAATTCAAATTCAATTATTATTTGTATTTTGAAAATAAGGGAGAGATATAATAATATATGTATGATGTTTTAGAATCATGAGCCTATTGAGAGTTGTATTACATTAAACAAAAATTCGAGACTTGCTGTACAGAAAGGGACTAATTATTCGGGCATATCTTGTATGCTTGTACATAATGAAATACAAGAATTAATATTATGCAATAGAGATAAATATTTCGAAATAAGTCCATAAACTAGATAAATTGCATCTTAGCTAATTATGCTAGGAAATACTTGCATGTGATTATACATTTCTAAGTATTATGCAAAATGCAAATACAAAATATATAAGTTATTAGAAATTGAATGGTCTTATAAAGATGTCTAAAATACAGGAAATGAAAGTAATTAGTTACTGTAATTGCCGTTACTTAATTACCTTATAATAATGATTTAGTAATGACATTGCAAATTTTTTATGATGATAGTACTAAGGTTGGAAAAATCATAGCTACTTATAAGTTGGAAAAGTTATTTGTTAAAAAGAATTAATAACGCACAATTTCTAACTTGTTATTACTTTTTAATTTAATTTGTAGCGAAATAACTTTACGGCTTTAAGTTTCCTCATTACTTGTTACTTTTTTCAATATGTAACGTGTAATGGTGACAATTTACTTTTTATAGTGATTTTCCTAACCTTAGTATAATTTCAGCATTTAGTTAGTCATCATTACAGTCATAAAAAGTTTAAGATCATTATCAAATTGTTGTTTATAAAAAGTAACTGTAAAAATAACGAAAAAGTAACTCTTCCATTTCCTGCTAAATTTTATGCGGTATTTAAAATACATCATTTTATACACAACATACAAATTTACACACATATCACAGATACAATATCGCACATTCATACATATTCTTAAGTTTGTTTTATGTAATACTTGAGACATTATCCAGAAGATTAAGTGACCTAGATAGTTATGTGATATGATATTAAGTCATAAATAGAAAAGGATAGCCAAATGAAAACAATTTCATAGTAATTCGTTTAAATAAAATTGAATTCCTAATTTTTCAATAATATACAAAATTTAAAAAATTTTGAACTTTTATTTTACTTCTCCTTATATAAAAATGAGAAATAAATAATGTTAAATAATGAAAAAATATGAATTAATAAACAGTTGTTCCTATTTTCTCAGTTTAAATAATTTAACATCTTAAGTACATTATTACTTATTACTAGTTTTCATATTAAAAAAAATGTAGATATTATACGCTTCTTTACTAAGTAGACGTGAGAAAAAGACAATGTTAATATAGAAGTTTAAAAAAAATATTTAAAAAAAATATTAAAATAAAATCCAGAGAAAAATTAAAAATTTAATTGTGTTGACTATATTGTTGTCAACCCCTTTTAATTCACCTTTTTTTTTAGTGGATTTACACAATTTCATGCATTTTTCGATGATTTAGAATCGTAATTCTTTACTAACGCTAATGTATTTAGTCAGAATAACATGTATATAAAAAGTACCATTTTCTCCGCCATGTAAGTGTAAAGTATAATCCGTCAAAGAACATAATACATAGTTGCGAATAAACAATGTCCGTTTCTATCATATAAAATTGGAATTGTTAAAGACATGTTAATTGACCACAATGTAACGTTTGTGTATATCATAAAAAATTAAATAAAAAATAATTTGATATTAGTAAATATCAAGTCAAAAATTTAATACTTTACGCGGTTATTTGATAGATCTCTACAAAAAGAAAGAAAAGTGGCTCTCTAATCTAATTAGACAAATATAATAGCAAAAGTATTTATCATATCTATTTAACTTTTTCTTTTATTGAATCGACACACTATTTATGTCGTGCGTTTTAATCTCTTTCAAGTTACTGCCAATTGTTATACTGATGATATACTACACTAGATGTGAGTAATCCTGCATTCAAAAACGGACATTACTTTTCCGTTTATTATTAGAAAAAGGGATTGGAAAATGTCTCATAGAATTCAGTCATACATAAGAGCGTGATTTAGAAAAAATGCAGTGCTTGACAGAGTGAGCTTATCATGCTTAAGTCATCTGCTGAGCGTGTCGGATGAGGCCGAAGTACGCCTACGCTGGTGGAAGAATGGATGCTGCCCGGCTGAGTTTTCGGCGTTTTTCAAACGCATAATATCCCAGATGTGGTGCACTATTAGATCTATTGCCACTGCAAACATACAACAACCAGACCATATAGGTTTCCCGTGAGATATTCTCTGTCTCTTTCTAAACTTTTGCTTAGTTTAAGTAGGTGTAGCTCTGACATCCACAACCACGGTATACCAGGCAGCACCCATCAGGTATATAACAAGTTGAACGGATGCAATTTAAATATACAAATAAAAAGAAAATAAAAATTTACTGTGTAAATATAATCCCGTATTATTAAAAAAAATATATATATACACAAAATTTGAATGTATACAATTAATTATTACTAAATGAATAAATAATTAATTGATATATCCAAGTTTCATATAATGATTTGATATTTTAGCGATTATACCAAACTGTATAAGTCTCCCATATGTATAGATCAGTGTACCAAATAAAAGTGTGATACCTCTATATTAGATGGTCATGAATTTTGAATTGTTAATCTAATTAAATTATATTTGATTTAAAATTTCAAGTCTTCTTTAAGTTAAAATATGAATAAAAAATTTTTACTGTTACTAAATATATGTTTAATTACTGTTCGCTATAATTCTTTGGAGCTTTCCAATTGTTTAACATATCTTGACACAAAAATAGCAAATTAACTTACTTATTTTCAATGTTAATAAATAATTCAATTCTTTTAAAGTTATCATGACATTAAAGAATATATAATTAAAAAGATTAAATTATTTGTCAACACTAAAAATATATTAATTTGCTACATTTATATCAAGATGTATTAAGTAATTGGAAAGTACATTGTTTATTACAAATGATTTTATAAAGAAGATAATTTTTTAATAATTATATTTCAATAATTTTAATGTATAATATAAATATTTACGAGAATATTCATTATAATTTATCTTAATTCTAAAAATTAGAATATATTTATATCTATATATTATATAAGATAGATTTTTCATTTTGTAATATTAAACATTTTTATAAACTTTTAAATTATAAGATTAGAACCAAAAATATAATTCATAGAATATATGAGAATTTTTGTTATCTATTATTTTGACTAATGAAATTTTACTCATTAAAAATCTTTCTTCATTATTTTTAACTCAATAAAATTATTAATTACTTTATTAATAATTAATAAATTTAATAGCTCTTGTAAAATAATCATAATTTCTTTTCATTTTGACTATATATTTTATTCTCTGGCATTTACATTTTAAAAGAAAGAGAACAGTTCTAAAATGCTTTGATATATCCTTAATATTGTAACTAGCAATAATATTAATTATAGTATTAAAGCATATATTGTACATATTTGTACCATTTTGTACTATTTTGAATTAATTTAGCAGAAAGAAAACTTGAAAAAATAAATTTTGATTAATATTACAATTAAACATGAGAGCTTTCTGAATGAAATATTATGACAAAATGCAATAAAAATCAAGAAAAAAAGATTAAAAATGTTTATATCTGACAAACACACTAAATTCACAAACAATAAATCCACTAATAAACATTAAGCGAAAGATATCAAATAATTACAATAGCTGCAATAAAAATATTGTTTTTAATAAATGTATTTACCTGTATTGTCTGCTCCCCTTGGTATTATAACATCCGCAAACTTTTTTGTTGGCAAACAAAATTCCTCAAAAGCTGGTTTTACAAAGTTCATATATTGATTCAGGACGTAATCTAAATCTCTTCCACGTTCCTTTATATCTCTTGGCACTGAAAACATCAATAATGTTATAATAACATGATACAAATCTAATAAGTAATACAGCAATTATATATACATGTACGGAACATTACCTCTCCTTGCAAGTCTGGTGTCAGAATCGGTATCGACAAACAATTTCATGTGAAATAAATCCCGAATTTTGGGAAAATAAAACACTAATATTCCTTCAAACAGTACCACATCCGCGGGATATATTGTTGTAACTTGATCTTTCATTCTGAAATAAATTTATAATTTTTTTTTAATAATTTTGCAATATGCCTAAGATTTTATATACATATAAATATCTTTTACAATTCACTGGATTTAATTATTTTACATTATAGTTATTTTATTCCTATTAATTGTGTGTGTGCTGCATTAGGAATTAGAAATCTAAAGATAATTTTGAACTTTAATATTAAAGTAATACATACAAACTGTTTGTCCTGTAATCATAAGCAGGTATTTCACACTTGACACCAGCAAGTATATCTTGCAGCGTTTGCAAAATTAGATCATCGTCAAAGGCATCAGGATGATCAAAATTATACTGTCCCTTCTCAGCTTTCACTTTCTCAGCAAGTGTTAAATCACGATAGAAACTGTCTTGTGATATACAGACTACCCGACGCTGTTGATGATCCATGTCGACTTGTCCTAGTTTTTCCATTATACGCTTGCACACTGTAGACTAAAAAAAAAATAGAATTTGTCAGTATATGACCATGCCATTGATTTCACCATTCTTAATCTTTATACCAAATAACAGAACAAAGATTATAACCAGTTCATATATTACAT